AAAACCAAAAATCAAATCTCTATCAGCCTTTGTACAGCTATCTAAAAGATCCATAAAACCAACGGCACCGCCAGAGTATGCCAGATAGTGAAGCATGTCTTCCAAGTCAAATTCTTCCAGATCATAGATGTTTATCAGTGCAGGCGAAAAGAAAGAATGAGCGATATCTCTCAAATTTTCAGCAACATCGTTCATTGTGGCGAATAACCATTTTCCGTCAACAGCATCAACAAACACCGGATACTTTGTGTATGCATCGTTCAAATTGAGGCGACCAACAACTGTTGTTGCAAAGTCTTTTGTAAATTTAACCCTTAAACCATCAAATATCGCATCAGATATTCCGAAAGGTGATTTCTCTGCAGGGGATACATTTTTGTCTTCGAGGTTTTCATGAATCTGTTCCTGCTCTTGGACAGATTCCTGCTCTTGGACAGATTCCTGCTCTTGGACAGATTCCTGCTCTTGCGTCGATTGGACAACAGTCTCTCTATCCAATGTGGGAGTATTTGAGTCGGATGGAATCGAAGATATGTTAAAATTTTCGAACAGTGCCTTACCTACCTCGCTAGCTTCAAAGAACTTTTTAATTTTTTTCTCTGGCATGCTCTCAGAAAAAAATATCCATTTAAGCTCATCAATCGACTCTTTATCTTTTATGCTGAGAATTCTGTCCCAATTGGGAATTGAACTGTCTGCAGAATAGGCGGGTGACAAAAAGGTCATGAAAAGCTTGGCAAAGAATACTTGCGAGGGCAAAAGGTTTCGCTCTTTAAGATCCCTCCTGAGCTGGTTCAAATGCGCAGAGGTAAAAATTTTTTGCAAGGTAACCTTCTCATCACCCGGAACATCCTCTGGAAAAATCTTGGGTTTCGATGAGAGCGTTTCCCTCTCCTCCTGACTCAATGCTGAAAGCATAGCTTGGTCATGTTTCAGAAACGAAGAAACAAAAAACCTGATTTGATGGCGTGCATCATTTGGAGGAGTAAGCGGAATCGTATCCGATATTCCATTCAGCAGCTTTCGGGCTCTTAAGAGTGCCTGATAAAAGCTCTTCGTGTACACAAGCGTCGAGAAAGTAACCACGCAAATTGCAGATGAATTAT